TACTGCCTGTGGAAGAATTAGAAAACAGAAAGGAGTGAGAACAACAGAAGAGTAATCAGTAGGAGTGTAGAAAGTGATTGACATTGCATTTAAATTTTTACATATTAAAGTTGGCTGAAAAGCATGGAACCAGAAAAGAGTTTCATGATCAAGAAGTGTGAGAAAAAAAAAACTGTTAGCATAGAATTTTACGGTTACATCTAGCCAACTCAACTGTATTATGGTGAGACCAGTCTAGTACTGCACTTAAATTCATAAAACTTATGGACCCTGGTGAAGAGCTTATCTGAACAGTTGTCATCAAATTATTCATAGAAAAGGCACAGGGAGACAACTTTATGGTGGTGGGAAAGTGACTGAAGCTGAGACACCAGATCTGGATCAATAATATTACTTATTCTGTTTTAAATATTATCAAGGATCTCTAGATACAGTCCCCTCCAAAAGTATTGGAACAACAAAGCCAATTCTTTTGCTTTTGTTCTTCACTGAAGAAATTTGGGTTTAAGATCAAGCCATGAATATGAGACAAGAGTTCAGAATTTCAGTTTTTATTTTCTGGTATTTACTTTTAGATTTTTTTGTTTAACAAATCTAAAAGTAAATTAGAACATACCACCTTTTGTATCAGATCCCCCCCATTAATAGGTGAGCAAAAGTAAAGAAACAGATAGTCTTAAATAAATACCATTTAATATTTGTTTGGTCCCAAGAATGTCCTTAACCTGTTGATCTGATAGAGAAGCAATGTAATGATGCTCAGTCTTGAGTTCATTCATCCAGTTAATCATGTTTGCCACTTTACTTTGGGAGTCACCATTTGTCTCATATTGACTACAGGAGGCACGTCTTCACTCACTGTCCTCCTCATCATCAGTGTAGTTTAAGAAATCCTCATCAACAGCAGCAGCAGCAGAATTTTCTTCTTCTTCATCAGATCTGTCAGTGCATTCTTCCATCTGATGATTCACCTCTCTAATTTTTCTCTAACAGTCATGTTCTCATCTGCACACATAACAAGAAGTTGATCCATGTGGGCAAAGTATGCATCTCTCTGGACAGTCTTCTTCACTATCGTCTTCTTCTTGCTATTCAGGTTTTTCATATATAGCAATGATTGGAATATGGTACTTGAGCTGTGTGTTACATAAGGGTGAATCTTGATGTAGAACCACATTGAAACACTGACCTTATAATTATAATGACCATTCTTTTCAGCTCATGGCTGGGTCTTGATGTTTCTGCATACAGCCTGAGGAAGCTAATCCATAAAGTATTCCACCTTGACACACAGTGATTACCTGGCTCAATAGCAGTGAATTAATTATCAAAAACGCCTGTAATGACTCCTTTACAAATTCTATGCAGGTATTTCTGATCTCAGGACAGATATTTCTCCACTTCTTTATTCTGGCAAGGGAATTCAGTGAAACTGACTGGCTAGAAAGTAACAAATTTCATCTTAGACAAAGGCTCCTTGATCTGCTTTCCAATAGAACCATACCAATGCTCAGGACCACTTGGCTTACCAGAATAATGATAGAAAAAAGTGCAGCTCATTTCTGTGAAGCTGACAGATGAAATAATGGAGTGGGTGAGCAACTAACATTTCAAGATGGCGAATGACTCCATTTTCTGATGCTACATTTATATTTGTTCCACACATACAATGAGCTACTGGATTAGATTTTTCTCCACCAGAAATTTGTGAATAGTTTTGGCAATTTACTTTCCATGTCCAGTTTAGGGAGTCACATGTGTGTTATATCCATTGACAGGCTCAACTTTGATGACATAACGATCTTGCATCGTCATCCTCAAACTCCATTTATTGGTTTTCCTATTCTTAGTCATCACATGAGTAGTGGTCTTCTTACCATCAAAATACAGTGACGTCATATATTCAAAACTAGCCATCTGAAATTCTTGCCTCTTCAATTGGTATTTTTGTCTTACGTCTTGTACCTTATGTGGTCCAATAACTTGATTCTTGTCAGTTAAGACAATTCTGGGCAGCCATCTTCATAATCATTGAGACATCTGTAAACTTTCCTTCCTCAAATTTTTATTGCCAGGAATCCTTTAATATCTCTCCTTTTGAGAGAAGTTTGTCCACTGTAAGAAAACTTGTACTACCAAATAATGCATGATCTATGGCTGCCCTTATTAATAAAGAAGCCATCTCAGCAGCAAATTTATCTTTTAACCTGATAAGAAAAGAGAAAGAATTAATGAAAGAACAAAACTGAATACGTACAATGTATATGATACTGCACCAACACAAGTAAATTATTAAATTTCAGTTGCAAATGCTGCAGACTAAACTGCAACTTATTAGCTTTAAATTTGTTATGGAGTCTTAAATATGTATAAGGAACAACCAATAAAGAGTACAGCTTTAATGGAAATTTCACTGCTTCCTAATGAAACAGTAAGCTAAAGAAAGATTTTATAAATTTCAACAGTAATGCTGTTTGTTTGAAGAAAGCTGAATGTTTCCTTCTAATGAAATGGCTAATATTATCAGTACCATTAGAGATGAGGAGAAGAGATACTACTCTTTGATTCCAACCCAATGGCCAGGGAGTAAAGAAAAGCATAACTCAAGTCATATTATCTTCTTGGTCAATGAATGTTGAATATTTCGTTATAAGGAAACAGTTAAATTCATCATTACAATTTATGCCTATACCAGTTAGAATTTTCAACTGAATGATATGTGGGAGAACTTTACAATTTTGGAGACTGATATTTAGAGAATTAGGATAGACATCTCTATATCAGTTGAAGTCTGTTGATTAGAACACCAAGCATCTCATGAGAAAAATGTAACTGTGATATGAACAGACTCAGAAGCATCTCATACTGTGTCTTTTGATTTGTACAGTTCAATAATTCCTTCAAAATTAAATAATAATGAAATAATAATTCCTTCAAAATGAAATAAACATAAACGCAATCTTTCTTCTTTCTTGGATTTAACACTTCACCAAATTAAACTCAGACAATTTCTCCTCACTTCTGTCTGTCTATTTCTCACAATAAATAAATAAACATATATATATATATATATATATATATATATATATATGTGTGTGTGTGTGTATGTATATATATATATATATATATATATATATATATATATATATATATATACACACACACACACACACACACACACACACACACACACACACACACATATATATATATATATATATATATATATATATATATACAGGATGATATTAGGTTGATGTCAAAGGTTTACAGGAGTTTCTTTGATGTTTATTCAGCTCTTTATGGCTTGTGCAGTCAGTCAACTGTAGTATGTTGCTCATAAGCCTTGGAAAACATTCGTAAACTATGAAATCATCTTCTATATGAAGTTATGTAAACAAACATCAGCCATCATTTAAATAATTCTTTCTAGTTTGGTAAAGAAAAAATCCTTTTTAGATAAGATATGACAGTGAATACAGAACAGTTTCCTCACAGATGAAAGAAAGGCTTGAAGCAGAGATGGAAATGAATTTTGAGAATGCCGATATTCATAAGCCATTTTCAAAGTGCTTTGTTTTTGTGTGCTATGTCATTTCATTGTTTTCAAATATCACATCTTAAGAATGACACAATAACACAAACTGCCACGTGTAAATGTGATATTTGAAAAAAAAGAAATGATACCGACATGAGATATAAAGATGCAAAGCAATGAGACAGTGATAACACATAAAGAAATTTTTGATAACTGTTTATGAAAGCCATAAGCACTCAGACATTTTAAATATGTTCCAGAAACCAAGAAAATGGTCTGAAATATAGAAAAGAGATCTAGCTGGCAACATCCTTTGAGAAAGGAACTATATCTAGATGTGAGAGTAATCATTTTTTTTTTTTTACATTTTTAAATCTATGATTCTCTTTAGTGAAAGCTTTGTGAACACTCGTGAATATTTCTTTAACTATTTTTTGTATGTTTAAAAATTGTTTTTTATTTTTCAATATTTTGCTATTATTGTTTTTCTTTCTGTAATTTTCTCTGCTGTCCTTCCATGATTTCCATTGATTTCTGGTAAATTAGGTTTTGTTTCCTCCATCTTTAGTGCAATTTCAACCTTGTGCATGTTTCACCTGCTGACACAGATTATTTCCATTAAGAAAATCATATTATTTATTTGTTTTACTTAATTGTATTTCTTCTTGTTATTTCACAGCTCAATAAACAAGGAAAAGAACTCAGCTCATTCAAAACATTTTATCAAGCAAATCAAAATTACTTCTGGAGACAAAGAAACTGAACTGAAATTACTAAGACTATTAAAAATCACTTGAAATCCTTGAGAAATTATTCTTTTCTTTATTTCTTTCAATTTAAAATTCTGATTTCTTCATTTGTAATGCTTTTATAAGAAAGTCTTGAACAATTGTCTCAGCATTATATATACATAATTTCCTGATGTTGACTTGTCATGGTTCACTAATCTTCAAGAAATGAACAATTAGCAAAGTTTTCTTGGTTCCTTGCCAAAAACATCTTTTGATTGAAGTGTGGCTGCTTTAAAACTTAACAGACATTCAGTCAGTTGTAAAATCACAAACTGAATGTTGACTTCTGGAGGTGAAAGGGGTTTTCTTAAATATTTAAACTTCAATTTTCTTATATGATTTGTGTCTGCCTCTTTTTAATTTTGTATTTTTTTTTTTGTAGTTTCTTTTTTCAGGGTGGGAACGGCTCAAAACTTTCCATGTTAAATGTTCAAACATGAATTTTTCATCTTTTAAGAGGAAAAGAAAAAGAAGATGAAGCTGCCTCTGAAAAAGGGAAATATGTTTGTATATAAAATAAAGAATAAAAGTGGTAAATTGACCTGAAAACAAAATGAATATAAAAGAATGATATTGGTTATTTACTAAGTTTAACATAATTTTGGTACTAGACCACAAGAATGGAGTGCTAAGTGAATACTGCTTAGTAAAGATCTGTATGACCAACTTATTCACAAATATACTGTACCGAATTCTTCAAGTAAAGATGAAAATATGGGAGAAAAAGAAAAGGAAAAAAAGGAGAAAGAGAAGATAGGAAAAATAATAAAGGTAGAAAGAGCAAAATCTGATAAAGGAGAAGGCAAAAACTGAAAAGAAGAAAAGGCAAAAAAAAAACAAAGAATAACAAAAGGAAGAAGATAAAGGATTATGTAGATAGAAACAGCAAAATCTGATAAAGCAGAAGGCAAAAATGGACGAAAAGAAGAAAAGGAAAGAAAACAAAGAAGAAGAAAAGGAAAGTGATAAAGAGGATGAAGATAGAAAAGTAAAAAATCTAATAAAAGAGAGGGCAGGAATGATGAAAAGAAGAAAAGGAAAGAAAATAATGAAGAAAAAATGGAGACGATAAAGAGGATGATGTAGATAGAAAGAGCAAAATCTGATAAAGGAGAGGGCAAAAAGGATGAGAAGAAGAAAAGGAAAGAAAACAAAGAAGAAGAAAGGGAAGAAGATAAAGAGGATGAAGATAGAAAGAAGAAAATCTGATAAAAGAAAAGGCAAAAAGGATGAAAAGAAAAAAGGAAAAAAATAAAAAGTAATGAAGAAGAATATAGAGAAGAAGAAGATAAATAAGATAATGATAAAAAAGTGAGGTGAAGAAAAAAGGTTATGAAGAAATCAGGACACAAAAAGATGAAAAGAAAAAGAAAGTGACAGTTGAAAGGAAGAACATGAAGAAAATTAGGAAAGAAAAAAACAAAAAAAATAAATATCAGAGATGCAACAAATAAAATTAACCAATGTAAATTTGCAGAAAAAATTCTTGGAGGAAACTAAAATTGAACAAGTAAAAAGAAATGATGTCTAATGAAATTGCAAAAGTAAATGACATGATCATTTAACCCTTTAATAGCCATATGCAATTTAACACAAATTTTTGCAACAGCTCATTAAATTCTTTAGTTTACACCTATCCTCTACCTTTCTTTTGGCTATTCTTTCAGGTGTAATATTTTCATTCTGTATTACAGTTAAGAAAAGCTGTAGATCAAGCACATACATGACACACACTGATCCTCTGTAGAAAAATGGTCTAGTTGTACATATTATTAAAATAATAGTTATAATGTCTTTATTTTTTCCTTTCACCTGGTTTTCTTTTCATTTTACTAAAGTGTTCTTAGTCTCTATCTTTTACTTTTCTTCTTTACAGATGCATTCAACTACAATGCATTATTTCTAGTCAGCACATGAAATAGATAGAGCATGACTTTCGTATAGATAATAAATCTGAAATTTGTTCACTGATTACCTGATGCCTTTGTTTTATTTTCATTTGTCTATTTGTAAAGGTTAGTTGTAAATTCTGAACCCTGAGTTGTTTATTTCTTTTTATAGTAAGAATTAAATCTTCTGAAGGAAAAGCAAGTTTTGGTCACTTTTGCTGTTATTTTGGTTACTTCTGTCTTGGAGAAAAGAAAGATTTACCAACCCTTGAGGCAGTAGGACCTTGGAGAAAAAAAAATGGGCAACATGTGTTAAATAGATTCCTACTATGGAAATGGTGAATTTGATAGCAGAGCATGGCTTCAAAAATAGTGTAGCGAGACAAGATGTTTCGTATTAATTATACGCTGACACTTTTTTGTTCTTTTACTCCTCAATCTCAAAAGAACTGACTTTGAAAACGCCCCCAGTTTTATTGAGTGAAGTACATTGAATGGGAAAGTGACTTAAATCTATATCAGTCATTTACAGATCTTAAGAAAAGTTAACAAGCCCCTGCATTTTATCTTACAACCCTTACTGGATGTGCCAGACATTGTTTTAAACATTACACATCATCATCATCATTTATTCATTTAGCACATTTTGCACCACCACTGTGGTCACCACTCCCCTCTATCACATAATTGTTGTTCATGGTGACATTCAAGGCAGAGTAGTGAAATGGCTTGCTGGTTCTTAAAGACTTAGTATGCTGAAGTTACTCTGCCCCTCCTATCAAAATCTAATGAGCCAGGATCTACAAGGGAGCTGGTAGTTTGAATTCAGAGTTTTCCTTCTTCTAGACTGGTTGCCAATCAAGGCTGTAGGGATCAGCCTGTCCTACTATTTACCAATAGTTGATGGGGGAAGAGATGGATTCATACCTTTCCCTAAGGTATTAGCACGTTAGTGATTGCAATGCACTTGACTGGAATTCAAACTTGGCTCTCCAATTCCTTAATCCCAGCCATTATCCAATATCCCACTGTGCCTCTTAGAGGTTTAACATCAGAGGATATTCCACCCAAAAATATTATTACAAATATTACCAGCAGACAGGACATGTTGTTTTTGAAACACCAAAAATATTTTCATGTTGTAATCCAGTTCAGAAAAGCTGCAGATCAGGCACATATAAGAAACACTTTGATCATATTTAAAAAATGTGTATAGTTGTACATACAATCAGAATAATAATTATGATGTCTTTATTTATTCAACTAGAAGGCATCATTTCTAGTCAGCTGATAAAATTCTTTAATTAGGAAGCAAAAAGAAAAATCATATACAATCAAAATAATTGTTATAATGTCTTTATTTTTTCCTTTCACCTGGTTTCCTTTTCATTTTACTAAAGTGTTCTTAGTCTCTATCACTTACTTCCCTTTCCTCACACTTGCATTCAACTACAAAGCATTATTTCTACTTAGTTCTAGAAATTCTTTAATTAGTAAATAAAAAGAAAAATCATATACAATCAAAATAATAGTTATAATGCTTTTAAAGAGTTTGACAAGTATCATCATCCATCAGGTATGAATATAACAGATATTTTGGTAAAATTTGAATATTTATATTTAATTTGGATTCACTTGCCAGAGGGAGTGCAAGTATTTTTGCTGTTGACTAAATGTGTCTGATGAAAATCAGAGATTGGCTCATGAAATTTGTCCAACTATAAAATATAAAAACATGAAATTGACAATAAAAAGATTTTGTACAATCCAGCTGCTTCAGTTGATGAAAATATTCTTTTCTACTAATGTCTGAGACGGTATTTTTAGGTGAACACATGACAATTTTTAAAACAAGAAATAAACATCTGCAATCCAGGTTTCATTATCTTTATTGATAGACAAGAAAATATTAACTGTAATTCTATGAAACACTTTGCAAAATATGTAAACAGAGTTAATATAACATTGTTAAATGCTGAGCCTGGGTAGTGTATGTTAATTAAACTGTTTCTTCGAATGGAAATACTAGACTTTACAAAAACTGTGACATGTAAAAATGTCGTTAAATGCTTTTCTTGATACCTTAAAGCAGTGGTTCACAAACTTTTTTTCTCTGAATTTATTTTTATTCCAAATGAAAATTTGTTTGCACCTCACCAAATTTTATGTGATAAAAAGGACATTGAAAAATAAAAAAAATAATGAGAATGGGTTAAATGAAGATAACTGCAGATTCAAAATCAGAACATTATTATTGATAACTCTCTCCTCTAATTTGTAGACATTAGTTATTATATTCTTAAGACTTGATTAATGCAAAAATATCACAACGATAAAATTGGTTAATAATTATTTATAACTATTTATAACAGGATTCATGCATGCAGTTACAAGTAATTGATAATAATATATTAAATTTTGAAATTATATTCATTTCAGGCAACCAACTGAATTTTTTGAAACTGTTTCTAAATGTTTGATTGTCTTTCAATCATTCTGCCTCACCTGCTATCCTCTTTCACCACACCTATGAGGTATGCCACACTGTTTGGTAACCACTGCCTTAAAAGATAAAGAAAAGAATTTTGTTAAATATTTTGCAACTGACACAAAATTCAAACTGACAATAATATTTCCAGCAGTTATTTCAGATAAGAAATATGGCTCTCACTTCTCTATGTCAATTGCTGATGTGCTAACAATTATTATTGAAAGAGTCTACCAAGCTTTAGATAAGAATGGTGAAGCTTGGCCTGTTGCTCTGGTTTAGGTTACTGGTCTTCTTCACAAGTTGAAAGGTTTATGCTATTTCTGGGGGATTTTTTTTTTATTGAAAGTTATCTTGAATGGCCACTCTTCTAGATCTTTTTGCATAAATGCAGGTGTTCCCCAGAGCTCTATCCTTGGACCTATGCTGTTCCTACTTTTCATAAATGACCTACCTGATATTATCAGTTCTCAACTCGGTATCTCTGATGATGACGCAACTAAGGGTGTTCCAATAACTTTGATCGATTTTAATGTGAATTAAGTTTAAGTGACTAATGATTTTTTTCTTTTTCTTTCAGATTTGGAGGACATCTGGGTGACATTATTTTTCACACATAATTGCCCTCATGATCCAATAGAGAAATAAATAAATGTTCACCAATAACACTGATTTATTTACTGCTGATTTTGATCCATCTTAATGAAATGCCCTTATATATAATCCATCTTAATGAAACACCCTTATTTACTCTTAGTCTTAATGGTAAGTCTGACTGCTTCAACAAGGTCAAATTGGTAGCTGATCTAAAGAAAATGACATAATTTATTGTTAAATGGGGCAAGGGATGGCTTGTTAATTTTAATGCCTCGCAAACAAAACTGCTCTCTTTTAATCATCTGATAGAACTCTTTTTACCTTCCATCAGCATGGCTAATGCTAACCTCCAGGAGAATGACTCATTGTGCCTTCTTGGATTAATATTTTCAGCTGATATAATGTGGAGTATATTGAATCCATTGATAAATCTTTTGCTAAGAATGTTGGTTTACTATGATATGCTAAACAATTTTAGTTGTAGGAGAAGAACAACAACCGTATTTTGTGTTAATTGGGATTGTGTTCAAGAATGGAAAGAAACTGCAATATTCTGAAAATGCTGAACTGTTAACAGCTGATCAAGAAATGTGGTAGGTGCTAAGGAGAAGGAACTGAAGATCTTGATTAGTAATCATGTGTTTGAAGTAATTACTTTTGAAATTCAAATAACAGTAAACATTTTGTTGAGTTAACTCTGAAATACATTAAGAATGTTGAAAGGAAAATTTGGTAGCACACGTAGGTTTGAGGAAAAATTCTTCAACTTCTTGTAGGGAGTCTATATAGTTGGTATTTTTAAACAGCGCATCATTGGCTGGAAGCTACAGACCATTAATATAACAGCTACATTTCTTTAGAAAGGGAACGTTTCCTACATCCTCCTATGATGTATGTGAAAAATCTTGTTTGGCATCTTAAAAAGTGTATTTATGGACTAACTGATGTTCCTAGATCTTATCACTAGAAAGTGAAAAGAAGGCAAGATTGATAATGACTTGTTCATGTGGTATTATGAGAGTGAATCATTTACTAATAGTAATTTTGGATAGTCATGTGGATGACAATGTCTGCTATAGTGATACATTTAAAAAGTTTTTTTCCTTTTATTGCAAATGGTTCATTTAAGTATCTTGGATTAGAATTTCTACAAACTTCAGCAAAAGGGACAACAAATTAAGACTTGTATATTCCCATAATAACTCAAATTAATTTTGCTCAAAGGTACATGACCAAGGCTGAATATAAACAAATAAACAAATGAGCTAAACAGGAAAACACCCAACTATTAAAATGTTGCATGAAGCAAACAAAACCATGACAAAATTAAAATCAAAGAAAATTGCTCTCAGATTTCTTAACTTGAGTAACTCTAAAAATATGAAAATTCTTGCGTATTCTGATACTAAAGGTGTCAGTCAAGATGTCAGCTCTTTGCAGGGTGGTAGAGTTATTTTTATTCAAGGTGGAAACAAGAAAGTGACACCAATAAGTTGACAATCTAAAAGTTTGGACAGGCTAACCAAAAGTCCATTGAAATTCTGCTGAAATTGTCAGAAGGACTTGAAACCTAAAAACTGAAGAATAAATAAATTTCAAGTTAACTTTACAGGAGAGCTTCAATGTTGGTATTTTGTTTACTTCTATCTTAGCAAAAAGGAGGGATTACCTGCCTTTGACATAGTCAGACGACAGAGAAAAAGATAAGTAACTCATGTTGAAAGGATTCCTGCTACAGACAACTTTGGCAACTTTGTTCATTGAGTGAACATCTCAGCAAAAATGTTCTTCAAAAATCTGAAGTGCCAAAATATTCACCTGAATTATTATTTTGGTTCTAAATTTTATGGAATTGTCTTAGATAAAAATAAAAAGGTTGATTTCGATTTATACTTTTGAAAAGTATAAAGAATAATAAAATTGACATGAAACTTAATCACAAAGACTACGAAATGTA